AAGCCATTAATTTTGAATTTCTATCTCTTTTATGGAGCTCAATAACGACTATATTTTTCATTCTCATTTTACAATAATGAAAACGGGCTCTAAATCTTCAATAAGCATTGCAGTCACTGTATAGGTGCAACTGCAGGCGGCTACTATAACCTCATTTCACGCTTTCGAATGAAACGGATAAACTGAAGCCACTCCTATCTTGTCTCGTTGCTCTAAATCGCATTACAAATTCTGTTCTACAAGTCGCTTGTGGAAAAAAGCAACTTCAGTTGAAAACACACGCAAAGGAACAGTAGGTAAACTTCTCTGCAATTAACCTATAAATATTAAAATTCACAGAAAAATCCTAGAGAGCGAAAGTAGAGAGACACGGCTATGGAGTTCGAGGTGAGAGAAGTAGGGGGAATAGAGAGTTGTTATGTATCTCTCCCACTCTCACTCATCCAAGCCCTACAGTCCAGTTATCTTCCTCCAATTCTCGCAGTTGAACTTCGCTCCGGTGCTAACCTCTGGCATGTGGCGTGGTCTGGTTCCCTTTCCTCTTCATCTCCTTCCTCAATTGAGGCGAGTTTGGTTAATAATTCAGTTATTTATTTGATGATTTTTGTTATTTACAGTCGCGGTGAAAAAAAAAAAATTGCGTTTTTGGTTGTAGATTGCTAAGCAGTATGCGGAGTGTATTGGATTGAGCGACCGTACGGTGGTTAAAGTACGAATTGTTAGTAATTTACTGAAAGCTACGCTTGTGACGGTTGAGCCTCTCACGGAGGATGATTGGGAGATTCTCGAGCTCAATTCCGAGCTTGCTGAAGAAGCTATTCTGAAGCAGGTATTCGCTGAATAGTGTCCTTGCCAATCTATGTGTCCTTGCATCAAAAATTGAAGTTTGAATGATCGTGTTCGATTATATTGCGACGCCTTGGAGAATATTTTATCTAGTTTGCAAATTAAATAAGATGAAACTGGTAATCTCCACTTGCTATGGGTATGGTTTTATTTATTCTTTAATTTTTAATTGCTGACTTTGAAATAATAATAATAATAATAATAATAATAATTTAGGGGCGTTTGGAAAATGGGTGGAAAGAAAATGTTTTATTAGGAAAAGATTTGCCTAGAAAATATTTTGCGGGGAAAATAATTTCTTTGATTGGTATAATTTTTCACCCGAAAAATTTTTAAATTTTCTATTCGTTTGGCTTTGTTTTACATGAAAATTGTCCATTAAAGTGATTTTTTTTCACAATTGGTTATAAAATTTGTTTCCATTGCCAAAAAGTAAAAAAAAAAAAGGAAAACAATTGTTTCCTAAAAAAAAAATTT